AATAGTTCTCAAGCATCGTAAACTTTGTCATATGTTTCGATCACACCTAGCATCCCTCAACCAATCCAGTGCGAATGCAGGCAATATTTCATCGAGGCAGCAGCTCCACGCTCGTGTTCTCATGTCATAGGACATTCTTGATCCAAGCTTATGGCAAATGTGATACCGCAAGCAGTCCTATTTGTGACCGATGGAGCAAGAACAGATCCTCCAGCCTCAGTGGACAGAGTCATTTAATTTCTAAATTTATAGTTAAATTTTTTATAGTTGTCAAGTTAAAAATTATTATTTTGGCTAATAATTCAAAATATATAAGTCATTTATATGCTTACTAGTGAAGTATAAGTAGTTCAATCAAATTAAGTTTAAAATAATTTTCTTCTATTTCAGCCATCTAAAAAATACTTTATAGTAGAATAACTATTTGAAATTGTTGTGCAAGCTTCACTTAATAATTGCTAAGAGGTGCACTGTTCATCATCCCACTCACCATTACATCGAAGTTTGCTGCACTGCAGCCACCACCACTCTCACGAGCCATAAAGATCGGTGCCAGAGCCTTCCTGCTAGGCTGGATGGACACCGGAAGCCATAGTAGAGCCTGTGGCCCAGGAGATTGTTGAAAAAGTTATGTCCGAGAGCAAGCACACCATATAGTCCGCCGCCGCTCCCAGCAGCCCTCTCCCTTCGGCCTGGACAGCTTCCAGCCCCTCCTGAGCAGTGACAGTGGTGCGATTCTCTGGATTTACAGTGGCTGCCTGAACCTCTTGCTGCGAGGTAGAGGCCCGTCGATTTGTCGAGGCCCATTGCCTTGAGGACGACTTCTCCGGTGGACACTTCCCGCCTCTCGTTGTAGACGAGGCGCTTCTTGGCAAAGTTTTGCTCTCGGTACTTTCATAGTATCTCTTGTTCTTCCGGTTTGAAGATGGCAAGGCACCTAAGAGAAGCTTGTCAGTGCGAAAGTCAAAAGTAAGTACCCATCTAGAATCGGAGAAAGTGGCGGAGCCTGCTCATGATCTGGTTGCTCAGCAACATAACGTCCGGTTTGAAACGAGTCTTGACATCGTGTCTAAGCGATTTGATAAAGTGTTCTGAATCATAAATGCCTCTGCAACATCAAAAACAACTGTTTGCTCTTTATCATAACCAAGGAAGAGAGCAAAAGATAAAAGTGTTAGCATCCTACTCTGGCAACACAAGCGTTGCATGCATTATCCTCGCTGCCAAATTGCATTGCAAATCTGCAAAGCCACAACGATGAAGTTGGAAATAAAAAGCAAGGAAAATAGAATGCCTCTTACGACACTGCGCTGTTGGTTACACCACAATGGCACCGAACTACAAGATAGCCATTGCTTTTCTTGGGAGGGGCTGCAAGATAGTTCACTCAAGTACTTTTGCGGCCAAAAAGATCTGGAAGCCGAGGAAGGCCTCCAGCCAGAAGAAGAAGAGCTTGTCCAAAGAGAATCACATCAATCAGCTAAAAAAAAGGCGAACGCTTAAAACCAAGGAGCAAGGAAATCGAGAGGAATGCTTACATGCGACCGAACGATGACACCATCTTGCTGCAATTGCGAGACCAGCGTACACAGAAGCAGCACCAGGCCAGAGATGGACAATCGACCAGCAAATCCCATCATACTGGCAGTCACTTGCTTCCATTGCCTCTGGCCCCTTCTTACGCTCCACCCGCGAGAGAACGCTCATCATCGTATGGTTTGATTATTCTGGTATATGAGCTTATAACAATCATTGCTCGCTCTAAGACATAGGTGCTAGCTACTGCCCCAGGGGATCTAGGCATTGGCAAGACGAGATACTAATGTTGGGTATAAATAGTTGGTGGTTTTTTCCATTACAAAGAATCTAATAATGGCCGTTCCAATCCAACGGTCAAGATGCTAAAAAGCTAGTCTTGAAATGGCTATTTCGGGCGAGAGGAGGAGGGATTGTCCCCCAAAGGGTGAATATGAGCTTGCTGATATCTATCAGGGTGGAAGCTTGGTCGTCACTGGATTATATGGTTCTTTCTGAATCTCGTTAGTCACTGCTACACTGTGATATGCTCAACCCATTGCACGAGGATGGCAATTTTTGGGAGCAGGTGTTGCGCTTGTCTATGCGCTACTGGTTCATGTCTACATGCTGGAGTCTCGAAATTCTGCGAAGGATATAGACGAACTCAAGACGCAACAGCTCGACATGCACGTTATTGAGGCTATTCAAGACAAGGCTATTGGAGCTTTGGAGAAATTTGCTGAGGCAACAGGAAATGATTTACCAGCAGATATGAAAAGCCTGAAGCCAGAATATATTAAGCTTTTTAACCAATACTAGGAACTGACATTTAAGAAATTTAGATTATGAATAATAATCACATTTTTTTATATATTTGAATTAATATATATTAAATTCAGTTTTTTTTATTAGCCTATAGGAGTGGATATACTTAAAATATGCTTGGTGATTTTTTAACATCATAGATTAATTTTATAAATTTTCCTTGATATAGGATTAATCTAAATTACAAACATGTTTATAATTATAAACTTCTACTTGACACTAAAAAAACTGTTATTAAAATATGTTTTGTCAATTTTTATTAATTTTTAATAACTATAGTTTCGATAAAAATTCAATATCTTTTGGAAAACTTTGCTAATTTTTAAAATGTAATTTTAGTAAAAGTTTATTAACAATTAATAACTATAAAATTATTAGTGAATGTAACAATAGAGATCTGAATTTCATATAAAACTTAAATTTATTCACAAAATTTAATTTGAATTAGGTGATCTTTAAGTGAAAATAATGATACACTTACAAATAATTTTCTATAATAGTGATAAAATATTAATAAAAAAAAGGTTCTAAATTTTACTTAATAAGTTGCATGCCACTTATGATATAATATTCATCATTTGAAGAGGAGAGCATGGTGATACATGTGAAGAAAAGTCAATTACTTTAGCACATTTTTAATAAAATTATTAAAATAAAAATTAAATGTTTATTTTATATATAATTTTTTTACCATTTTAGAAATAACTAATATAGTTAAAATACTATAAAAATTCCTATATAATAAAGAAATTTGGATTGCATTGTCTGTTTACTCTTGTTCTATCATTAAATGTAGAATTTTATATATATATATATATATATATATATATATATATAGCTTACTAGTCAGATGTGAAATATAATACTAAGCAACTATTAATTAAATAACTTTAAGATTCTAAAACTTATTTTTTGGTTCCAACTATATTCTAGGATTTTCATTAATCCAATCAGTTTCTAAGTCTGGCATAAATCAAAATTTTAATAATTCAGCTATAGAGGTGCCAGGACTAAATCAAGTTTTCTCTAATATTGCATGTAACAAACAAAAACTAACTTGTAGGGAGGAAACAATTGAATTATGGTTTGATTGATATGATAACTAAAGTGGATAAAAATTAGCCAAATCTTTTGAATTTGTGGGAGATTTTTAAGACAGAGAAATCTAGAAGTTTCACTAGCAAAGTATATTCATGGTGAAGACAAAGGATCTTGGAAATGACAAACATCATTGTAGTGGGAGATTAGAATCTTGATAGGAAAGAATCACAGTGGGAGGATATATAGTAAAAGCATGTAAAACAAACTCAAATGTAGTTAGAAATGTTAGCACATTACAATATGAGCTTGGAGGATAAAAGCCTGAGGATGGAGTGATGGGAGCCTCACCCCTTATATAATAACAATTATAACCCTTTGATCTTAAGAATAAAGTTCAATCTTTTTTAGAAAAAGAATGTTCTTTGAGAGGAATTTCTTTGTAGCTTGACTGTAGTTTAGGTGTTCCAAGCTTGTAGTAGCAATCTAAGTGTGATGGAAGAAGTTCTAGAGTGTCTGAAGAGGATTTCAAGCTCATCCCACCTTTCTAGTGTTGCAGGGAAGGAATTTTGGAATTTTTTGCAATTGAAAATATAGTGATCTCGATTGCTAGAAGTCTTCATAGAGTTCTCTAGTGAGTTGAAGTGGTTCGAAGCAAGTCTTAGTGCAATAGAAAACTCATCATCTTTTTGGGTGAGCCCGGTTTGGAGAATTTTGATGTGCATTGTAAACAGTTGCAGATTAACCTAGGCATGTTTGAGAAAAGAGTAATGCATGAGAGAGGGATAAAGGCCATTCCTATCATGGCAAGGAAGCTAGAATTACTGGAGAATTTGATCTCTTAATGTTGCAAACTGGTGGGTAAAATTCTGTTGCAAGAAGGCCCTTGGAGCTACAATTGGCAAGTTAAATGAGCTCAAGAGCAGCTAAGGTGAGAGGAAGAAGAACAGAAGAGAACATCCTAATGCAAACATATAAACTTCTAGTGTATAGGTGTTCTAATCCACATGATATAACAAGATTAATCCAAGATCCAAGGAAATCTGCATGGCATCTATATAGATAGGTTCCCATGATTCTTAAACAAACTTATATATCCAGGTGAAAACCATGATCTAGCTAGCAACATGTATGATTGCCAAAAATAATCCCACCCTTTTGCAGTGTTGCACAATTTTGATCAAAAGAAGACGCAAATGCAGAAGCAGCGTAAATGGAAAATCTTTCAGCTGGACTAGCTAAAACAGATGATGAACTTTATGAAGTCGCTACATCCGCTAAACTATCACGTTCTTTGCTTGCTCGAACTCTTGTTATCATTTGGATGGCCGTGAAGTATGAATGTTCTATAACTTGAATTTGCAAGTGATTAACAATATTAATAGGGATTACTAGCATGATTACCAATCTTTGGCTAGAATTTTCGAGTGGATAGTCCAAGATTTTAGGGTTCTTGCAAGAGGTACCGCGTGCGCCTCATTTGATGCGCTCTTGTTTCTCCTCGCTTGGGGCCTAAGGGACTGCCACGATTGTCCATCTCTGGCCTCCTACTGTGGTCATCGTTCAGTCTCATGTAAACATTCCCTTTAACTATTGACCTCATTTTGTTTTTCTTTAGGCAGATTGATGTGAATTTCTCGCCTCCCAGATCTTCGTAAGTACTTGTCCAGAGTTTTTTTTTCATATCTTTTACTTTGACTTAGTGGATTCTCTTGCAGCCCCTCCCAAGAAAAGCGGGCTTAACCAGCAGCGCGGTGCCGTAAGAGAAATTTCGTTTGCGTTGCTTTTTTTCGATGAGTCTTCGCTGATTTGTAATGCAGTTTTGGCAGCAAGGATAATGAATTCAACGCTTGTGTTGCCGGTAAAAGGTCCTATCTTTTGCTTTCTCGTCGTTGATTATGATAATGAGCAAACAGTTGTTTTCTTAAGTGGTTTTGCTGGCATTTATGATGTAGAACACTTTATCGAATCGTTTAGACAGCGACGTCCTTCCTCGACAAGAAGAAGAAAAAGATAAAGGCTTTCCAGGTTGGTTACTCGTTCTTTCAAACCAACGTCGGAACTCTTGTCTGCTGTGATCGCACCCTCCAAGTTCGTACGAGACCGAAGCGCTGGCTAAGATGAAACAGCACGGTGCGATATATCTCACTCCCTTTTCCCATCGCCTAGCCGAAGAGATTCCAAACGCCGAGTAAACTTCCACGCACTGCGTTTCAAGCCGGACGTTGTGCAGCTGAGCAACCAGATCGTGAGCAGGCTCCGCGCTGAAGGCCACTTCATGTCCATCCATGCTTGCATTCGCTGGGTACGTACTTTCTTCTTTCGCATTCTTTCTCCACCGACAAGCTTATCTCAGGTGCCTCGCCGTATTCAAACCGAAAGAGCAGGAGATACTACAACGAGAAGCGCTTGAAGAGGTCGGTCTCATTCTCCAGGCAATGGACTTGGACAACTCAACGCGCGACATCTTTGGAGGCGAGAGAATCGTCGCCTGGAGAACCGCACTACCGTCGCTGCTCCGGAGGAGCTGGAAGCTGTCCAAGCCGAGGGGAGAGGACTTCTGGGACCGACGGTGAACTACCCGGTGTGCTTGCTTGCTCTCGGACATCTTGATGAGAGGCGTGATGAGCGGTGGAACGTCGGGTGAGTTCCGACCCGCTTTGCACGAATCCCTGGCTGGCGAGAGGTGCCGTGCGAACACCAGCATGAATATCACTGCTTTGGACGGGGGATCAAACGCGTCCTTTGGGACGATGTGGATTATCCGGGAAAAGGTAAACGATTTGTTCACAAAACTCTACCACATGTAGAGAAAAAAAAGAACCGATCGCGAATTCTACACAGTAAGCAGTCGAGAAATGCACCTTAAAAACCACTAAGTGTTAGAAAGTAAAAGAAACAATCTCACATACCCGATGGAGAGGAGCACCAAGGCCAAGCCGCTTGCAATTCCATTTAACCACTATTATAAGCAAAACGGACTTGTTATTTTATATCGCTATTCGTAAACCTTACCTTCATATTCTTGTTCTTGGTCACATGACCATGATACGCCCACAGAGCACGGCAGCAGAATGCAACCAGAGACATGGCCACGTTGACAGTAGGCAGTCGTCCATAATAGGCTGCGAACTACATGAAAAGTAGGAAAAGAAAACGTTTAGAAACCAAGAGAAGAAAATAGAAAACTTATACTCCCAGGGGCGATGCTGTGGAGAGTAGTGTGGTCGCAATGCCGATGTAACCCACAAGCTCCCAAGTAGGAAAGAAGAGGTCCAAAAGCCCGAAGGAAACATACCACGCTGTGACGATCACCGGGGGCCAGAGGAAGCTGCCAGAGGTGTGGACAGTGTAGAGTATCTCCACCAGCGTTCCAAACTTGTTCACTGCACAAGTTACAAGATCCCCACTGAGAAAGCAGGTAGTGCAGTTAAAAGCTGCAACAAACATTGAAAACATTTAGAGTTGAAGAAAAACTAACTTAGAATTAGAAAAAAAACCAGCAAGGCCAAAGACGACCAGGCTCTCGATCACGCTCACGCTCTGGATGTCCATCCCGACAGGCCCAAACATAGCACCCGAGATGAGAGGCATCAGAAGAAGTAGAAGAGACAGTACAGCAGCCAAAAACTTTCTGGTGGTGAATTCCTGGAAATCCCTGTGGCTGTGAATCTCGTTGTGGCAAAGAACGAAAAGAATGAAATGTACCTCCTGCGCCTGAAGCTGGCGCTGATTCCCTGGCTCCTGCTGGGGCGGCCGATCCTCCTGGCGCTGTCAATGAATCATGTTTGTGTCAAAGAAAGAAAACAAGAAAATGTAGCTACCTGAAGCTGGCGCTGATTCTCCTGGCGCCGATCCTCCCGGCCCCGATCCCCTGGCAGCAGATTCTCCTGGCGCCGATCCCCTGGCAGCCGATTCTCCTGGCGCCGATCCTCCTGGCGCCGATCCTCCGGGGGCAGATCCTGGCGAAATTTCAGGCAGGAAACCTAAGCGTGGACATACCTGAGGATTCTCATCATCGGGCAGGGGAGGATTCTCCAGATCCTCCTGGCGCCTGGGGAGAAGAGGCTCCTCCATTGCTCCAAGATTTTGGCTAGGGTTCTACGCAATCCCTCCAAGTTTTCTTTGGGAAAAATTTGGCGCTCGAATTCAAGTTAAAAAATAAAAAATAAAAAAAATGGCAAGCGAGACGTTCTTCCTTCGGTGGATTAGAGACGAGGGTGGAGCTCTGCCAGAGGGAGAAATTGGCACTGCATGTAGTGTTGGAGGAGCTGATCCGCGAGAACCAAGGCCACCATCGCCTTGGACACCATTGGAACAGCTGCAAGAAATCGATTGATGAGCATTCACGAGAGGAGAAAGGATTCCTGGATGTTACCTCGAGGAACGACGCAGGGATCATGACGAACACGAGCTCTTCTTGCCGGTCTCTCATTCCAGTCTCTTGGAATTTCATGCCAGCTCAGTGAGAATCGAAGAACTTTACAGTGATTGTAGACGTCGGCTTGAATGCTATTCTCATCACTATCGTCTCTTCTTCCCTGCATGACTTGTTCACAAGTTGAGGAAAAAACAGAAAGGAGATCCTGTCTAGAAACCCATGAGATTCCTTCATACTTCTTGTGTGTGTAGACAGAAAGGTCTCAAACATTGCAAAGGGAGATTTCCATCTTGTGTTACCTTCAAAGTCAAAGCCTTTGGTGGCAGGGAAAGACATGAGAGCCTTGGCGAGCTCGGCTTCTAGCTTGTCAAGAACAGGAGCCCCAAGTCCCTGAAAGTAGACAGAAGGTTGATCAATACAGCTTTGCGTGAATGCGGGAGTAGATTTCTTACCCGAGGAACGTTTCTAGCAATGCAAGTGACGACTCCTCCCACGGAATCTCCCCTCACTCTCACAGCGTCGATGGCAGCGATCGTTTTTTCCGCCATAACTTGATCCGGATGTTGCTCTCCACCGGGAATTACGAACACCAAGGAAATATAAAAGCACAAACTGTTTGCGATTGTCCCCGCTGCTACTCTTTCTCGGGTGGATGATCTTCTTCCAAGAGAGTTTGCGAGGAAACGTTTAGATTTAACCTGGACGGCTACTTGAATCCGTAAGTAGCATCGGCATGAGATGGCCGCTAGATAAGCTAGAGCCAATCCTGCAGAATACCTCACATTAAGTTCCAGCGTCTCATTTACTTTCTTCCGTTAACGAAAACTTACTCTTCTACGTTGATCCGTGTTTGGAACTAGAACAGCAATAGGAGTCCCCAGTGTCCATTCCTATGAGAAAGAGATTGGTAAACTTACAGAAGAAAAGAAAAGCAAGAAGCTACATTACCTTGTGCCACGCCAGAGAGAAATTTGCAAGTGCCTGTTTCCTTCCTTGGAGTTGTGATCCGACTTTGGCCCGGCCTCCTGTTCGTTGAGAAATGAAGAGAATAAGCAACTTACAATGAAGACACAAAGAACACAGTACTTCGTAACAAACAACGAAAGAACATACAAAGGACACGCAAAGAGTAACACGAAGAACTACACAAAAAGAAGTCAAAGTAAAAGGAAACAAAACAGTAGAAAGAAAACCTTCTGTCTAGATCCCTCCTCGGTGAGATTGAGCGCCGGAGGGCATCCAACGATGGCACATCCAACTCCTCCACCGTAAAAGTTGTAACGCGGAACAAAGGCATTTCCCACGCCAGCACGAACTTCTGTCAAAGAAAAAAATATCTAGTGTATAGCTTGCGCAGCTAATCCATGGTTATCCAAGTAACCATCCAGATCCTCAACAAGAAAAATGAGGAAGAAGACGAACGTTGAACGTCTGGAAGAGCACGAAGACATAAGAATGTTTAAGTGTATGGCTATCACCACGTCCAAGAAAGAAACGATCTATCTCAAGCAAGCAGTCACCGCATTTCCAATCAAAAAAATCCATCGTTCTTCCAAGAAATCCCATCGTTCTAAGAAATCCAAGCAAAACAATGGAAGAACTAAGTACCTGGCAAGGAGAGGCATGAGAAGGCTACTGGGAGAGGCTGCCAAGTGTGAGCGCTTTCCTCCTTGATCACCGCCATGGCGCTGCTGGCCACGCCGCCCAGCTCCTAGCGCTGACAACCCTAGCGGTGGCCCTCCGCTACCAGCTCCAGCGATCCAGTGTGGCTCCACGCGAAGAGCACGCACCAGAATGTGGCGTCGGGCGCGCAGCCGTCCAGCGCCATGGATTCCACGCGATCATCAACAACATTGCGAACTGTTTGGTCGATTTGATTGAAGAATGCCTTCTTTTCTTCGCCTACGAGAAGATACTTATACTACATACAGTGTTCCAACAACAGAGATCACATTTCACGTTTTTTTATTACATTTTTCCACGTAGCCACATGTGATGAAATACGCAAACCAAACCATGGCAGTTGGTTTGATATATGAGCTAATAACAATCATTGCTCGCTCTAAGACAGAGGTTATTAAGCTGCTACATGCCTACGAAAGTAGCATCAATGCTCCTCTAGTTCGACCATCACTACATTTGAGGAAAGAAAGTGTAACATATTTAGCCGTAAGCTTACAATATTCTGGCTTCAGGCTTTTCATATCTGCTGGTAAATCGTTTCCTGTTGCCTCAGCAAATTTCTCCAAAGCTCCAATAGCCTTGTGCTGAGTAGCCTTGTCAAATCGTCGTTTATCAGACAGCCATACATGATTGTCTTCTTTCGACCCACGGTATTCAACATAATCGCTGTTCAAAGAACTAAATCAAAATTCCATGAAATGCCACCGGGAGATAACTACACACCTTTCTTACATACATTGGTTTGAAGATCTCCTTAGCCTGCTTGATATGAAGTACCATTTAAAAACCGTGAAGAGAAACCGAAAAAAACTCCATACCTCAATGAGAGTGACATGAACAATTTCCTTGACATGGGAATCCTCATCGTGCACGTCACATCTAATGAATTTGCTCAGCTCATTGCTGAACTCAACGCCAGCAATATAAAGATCGTTGACATGAAATCAGAACAATCTCATACCCGAAATCTGGATAGAGAAAAAGTTGGGACACAATGCCAAAACCTCTCTTTCTTTGATTGGAATTGGAACACCTGTGAAAAAGCTGAGAAAACCATCGTAAAAAACAAACAAATTTGAAAGTTGGCCATACCAAGAATGTAAGAGAAGAAGAAGAAGACGCCAGCAGATGTTTCTGGCATGGGGAACTTCTCGGAGAAGGCTAGCCACGACAGTGTCAGAAATAGAACTATATAACAAAGAGAAAGCAAAATATTGATTGGGAACAGCCTGTGAACCATAGAATTCGGAATTGACAACTGCAAAAACAAAAAGAGCGTAGAGATTTACTTGGCAGTGATAATGCAGGACAAAAAGAGATAGAGAGGGAGAGCATTCCCATCAATGGTTATCAACCACCAGCTCCAGAGAAACTAATAGAATAGAATAAAAAGGAGCAATGCTCCAAAGCAACTCAATTATAATCACCCTCTCGTATTGCGTCCGGCCCCAGTCTCGCCCTTGCCAATCACTTTGGAGGATCTGAAAATCTAAGAAATCCCAAATTATCTATATATATATAGATATTGTTTTGATAGTCCCAACTGATTGATGGATGCAAAAATGCTATCGTTTTAGCGTCTACTATAAACGTTGTCCACGTGTCCTCATCTGAACCGTCCGGAAAAAAAAGAATTTAAATTGGAATGTAGGGCCAACTTGACCACTTAAAGGTATAAAGTTCTCCCATATCGATCAGGAGCTATGGCGGCAGGGTTTGAGAAATTCGAGGTAAGCGGCATGGATGTCACGCTCGAGGAAGAAGAAATTGTCCATCTTAGCGAGGAGCTAGGCTGGCTAGTGATTGGCGAGCAGCCAGAGCTCAAGATCATCGGCGAGGTCGACAAGATCAAGGCCAAGGGAGAAGAACAAGTAGAGCGAATCTTTACAGCGCTGGTCCATCTCAAAGCTCCCAAAGATGAGAGCTCGGCCGCCGACAGTGCCCGCGCCCCGGTCGATCTGGTGACAGTGCTGGATGTGAGCGGCAGCATGCGCGGCCAGAAGCTGGAGCTCGTCAAGACCGCCATGGAGTTTGTGATCCGGAATTTGCGACAGCAGGATCGCCTCGCGATCGTCTCCTTCTCGGACGAGCCCAAAGTCCATCTCGGTCTCAAGAGGATGACCCACGAAGGTCGAGCCGCGGCGCTCAATGCAGTGGAGAAGCTGCGGAGCCTGGGAGGAACCGAGATCCGTCCGGGTCTAAAGGCTGGATTCGATCTTCTCTCGCGGCGCAAGAACAGGAACCCGGTGTCGAGCATTTTGCTTCTCTCGGACGGGATGGACAATGCGATCATGTTCAAGAGATGCAAAGTTCTTCCGGTGGATTCCTACCTCGAGAATGGGAGCGAGCGAGTTCCAGTGCACACTTTTGGATTTGGAAGTGACCATGATCCCGAGGCCATGCTGAGCATCGCCGAGGCCACGGGTGGCAGCTTTTGCTACGTGCAAGAGGAGTTTGCCGTCCAGCACGCGTTTGCTCAGTTCATTGGCGGGCTGCTTAGCGTGGTGGCACAGGAAGTGGAGGTCTGGATGGAGGCAAGCGGCAGAGCGCGGATCAAGAGTGTGGAAGCCACCGCCGGGACAACGGCCATGGCTGGCGATCGAGCTGCAACAGTGAAGCTTGGATCCTTGTACGCGGAAGAGGAGAGAGATATCCTGGTGGAGCTCTTGCTGCCTGGCTCTGACTCGAGCTCTTCGTCGCTGGAACTTCTCAAAGTTGGAGGGAGCTTTCGAGACCCGTCCAGCGACAAGACCCAGCAGCTTGCAACTTCGAGCTTGGTGATCCAGGAGCTCAAAGCTGGCGAGGAAGAGGAAGCGACAAAGATCGAGGTGGACAGGCAGAAGAACCGTGTGAGTGCCTCGAAGGCCATGGCTGCCGCTCGGAGGCTCGGGTGTCGCAGCTCGGAAGACTTGGCGTCGGCAAAGCAAGCGCTGCTGGACGTGAAGCAAAAGATTGAGAGCTCCCGAGCGTTTGGAGCTGGCGATGTCTTGTCCAAGGGATTGGTGAGCGAACTCGAGGAGCTGATCCAGTGCATGATGGGGGATTATTACCGTTCCGGGGGACATGCTGTGCTGCTTGCGGCCGAGAATTCTCACGTCAACCAGCGATCTACGTACCAGTCGAGAGGTAAGACATTTTGGACAGCTCTTTTGTGTTCTAACTCTTGTGAATTTTCTCTGTTTAAATCAGCTCCTTCTGCGAAAAGAGAATGTTCGCTGACATCCTATCGAACTTCGGCGATGGTAGATATGCTGGACAAATCCAAAAAGTTCAAGAGTGAGAGATAGATTTAGATTTCAACTTGACAAAGCTAGAGCTTGATCCTAACGGTTTTGATGTTTACTCCCAATGTAAATAACCACGCTGTGTGTGAATAGCTCTCGGATATTCGCTGGAAACAGAGAACTTACAACTGCGAAGCGAAAAGAAAAGGAAACACCATCTACAATCAAAGAAAGTTTCTTCGATCTTCGATCTCTTCCAACTTCCAAGCAAAGAATTTGCATGCGCTTTCTCGAAAAGTTTTGCTACAAGTATTAGAGCGACCAATCTCGGAAAGAGGTGGCGTTCCGTCCTGGGACGCCATGCTCACGGCCTACACGCTCAATGCATTCGCGAAACAAGCAAAGGATCTCTTTGATTCCAAGGAGTGTGGTGGCTGCTACAAGAGTTTCTTCGAATCCATGCCTTGCTGGGACGACTCAAAGTTCTCGGTGCATGGAACTTCATAAGAACTCGAAGAGGTCGAGGAATTACCCCTCATCCTCTTCGGAGCTAAGCTTTGAATCCTCCTCGCTCAATCCCACCTTGGTCCTTGCGGAGCTTCGATTCTGGCCTACATTTCAATCCAAATCACTTTAAAGCTCCACCGGGAGAGGTCGATCAAGGCAAGAGTGTTGAGTCCCTTTTAAAGCATTGGCGCTCTTTGTGAAATCCCAATCTTTAGTATTAGTCAATGTAGTCCAAGATAGTCAAACATAGTCTTCCTTCCAAATAAAAATAAACTGTCTCTTTTATCTCGTTGAAAATATTTCGCGGCATTTGGGTTTAGTTTTAGGGTTCTTGCGAGAGGAGCGCGTCGATCCAGCTCGCTCGGCCCCCGACACGACGCATTGACGCGTAGAAAACAGCCCCATTTGATGCGCAGGTAAGCGCTCTCGTCTCTCCTCGCTTAGGGCAACAGGGGCGGGATAGATCTAAGCTCTCTCACACTCTCTCTCGCAACGAAAGAATGGTGCTCGTGCTGCGCAACAGATCTGATCCCTCGCTGTGTGTGGTAGCTCTAGCGCAGCTGCATTCTCTGGTTTCGGGAGCCTGATTCGTGGACGTGGATTTGTGTTTGCCAGGGGATCTAGCCACTCGCAAGACGATGATGAGCGTTCTCTCACGGGTGGAGCGTCGGCATTAGGAAGAAGGGGGCAGAGGCAATGGAAGCAAGTGACTGCCAGTATGAAGGGATTTGCTGGTCGATTGTCCATCTCTGGCCTGGTGCTGCTTCTGTGCATGGTGTCGCTGGTCTCGCAGTTGCGGCAAGACGGTGTCATCGTTCACTCTCATGTAAGCATTCCTCGCGATTTTCCTTGCTCGTTTTTAAAGCGTTTATCTCTTCTTTTTCTTTTGGTTTTTGGCAGATTGATGTGAATTCTCTTTGGACGAGCTCTTCTTCTTCTGGTTGGAGGCCTTCCTCGGCTCCCAGATCTTTTTGGCCGCGTAAGTAGAGTTTTTTTCTCATATCATTCTTTTCTTCTTGTATGTAACTTAGTGGACTATCTTGCTTGCAGCCCCTCCCAAGAAAAGCAATGGCTATCTCGTCGTTCGGTGCAATGGCGGGCTTAACCAGCAGCGCAGTGCGGTAAGAGACATTCTATTCTCCTTGCTTTTTATTTCCAGCTTCATCGATGTGTCATTGCAGATTTGTAATGCAGTTTTGGCAGCGAGGATAATGAATGCAACGCTTGTGTTGCCGGAGTTGGATACTAACTCGTTTTGGAACGATAAAAGGTCCGTATATCTTTTGCTTTCTCGTCCTTGGTTATGATAAAGAGCAAACAGTTGTTTTTGATGTTGCAGTGGTTTTGCTGGTATTTATGATGTAGAACACTTTATCAAATCCCTTAGACACGACGTCAAGATTGTGGAGTCCCTTCCTTACGTCTCCGACAAGAAGAAGAAAAAGATGAAGGCTTTCCAGGTTGGTTACTCGTTCTTTCAAACCAACGTAACTCTTGTCTGCTGTAGATCGCACCACCGCGAGATGGTCCTCCAAGTTGGTACGAGACCGAAGCGCTGGCTAAGATGAAACAGCACGGCGCGATATATCTCACTCCCTTTTCCCATCGCCTAGCCGAAGAGATTCCAAACGCCGAGTACCAGCGGTTGAGGTGCCGAGTAAACTTCCACGCACTGCGTTTCAAGCCGGACGTGATGCAGCTGAGCAACCAGATCGTGAGCAGGCTCCGCGCTGAAGGCCACTTCATGTCGATCCATCTCCGTTTCGAGATGGACATGCTTGCATTCGCTGGGTACGTCCTTCCTTCTTTCGTAGTCTTTCTCCACCGACAAGCTTCTCTCAGGTGCCTCGCCATATTCAAACCGGAAGAGCAGGAGATACTACGAAAGTACCGCGAGCAAAACTTCGCCAAGAAGCGCCTCGTCTACAACGAGAGGCGCTTGATCGGGAAGTGTCCCTTGACACCGGAAGAAGTCGGGCTCATCCTCCAGGCAATGGGCTTCGACAACTCGACCCGCCTCTACCTCGCAGCGGGCGACATCTTTGGAGGCGAGAGATTCATGCAGCCACTGCGAGAGATGTATCCTCACCTGGAGAATCGCACCACCGTGGCCGCTCCGGAGGAGCTGGAAGCTGTCCAGGCCGAGGGGAGAGGACTCCTGGGACCGGCGGTGGACTACATGGTGTGCTTGCTCTCGGACATCTTCATGCCAACTTACGACGGTCCCAGCAACTTTGCCAACAATCTCCTCGGCCACAGGCTCTACTACGGCTTCCGGACGTCCATCCAGCCCAACAGGAAGGCTCTGGCACCGATCTTCATGGCTCGCGAGAGTGGTGGCGGCGCCGCCGCCGCAAACTTCGAGGCCATGGTGAGAGGCGTGATGAGCGGTGGAACGTTTGGGAGGTCTCACCGCCGTGTGAATCCCGAGTCGTTCTACACGAATCCCTGGCCGGAGTGCTTCTGTAGGAAGGAGAGCGATGATCCGCGCGAGAGGTGCCCGGCGAACACCAGGATGAATGCCACGGCTTTGGAGGAGGAGGGCGGCGACGGGATCAAACGCGTCCTTTCGGACGATGTGGAATGAAATAATGCATAGTCTCTCATTGTTTTGGATTGATACTGAGTTTATGATGAGAGTACATGGAGATCATAGAGAGTATCAGGGAATGCAAGACGTTGGTAGAGGCGAATGATTTGCACGATCGCGTTACTTCGTCTCAGGCACCACTCGATACGTTTGTTGGTAACAAGCTGATTGAAATGCATGGCAGGGTCGGGAGCTTGAGTCAAGCCCGAGAGATCTTCGACAGGTTGGGGAGACAAAGAAACTCGTATTCTTGGGTTATAATGATGAATGCCTACTCTAGAAACGGCGAACTGGCCCTTGCGAAGCAAACTTTTGACGCTATGGCTCAGCCCAATCTGGTCGCATGGAATGCTCTTCTTTCAGCATATGCCCGTGCAGGGCATCTTCTAAGCACCCAAACTTTATTTGATCAAATGCCACAGCACGACCTCATCTCTTTTTCCACAGTGTTTTTCCTAATAGCTCACAATAGCTGCGTGGAAAGAATCCAGATATTTTTTGACAAGATACCCCAAAAGGACATTGTGTTGTGGACAACTCTTCTTATAGCATATGCCAGGAAAGGGGATTTGCGGAGCTCAAAGCGTGTGTTTGATGAAATGCCACTTCGCGACCTCATCTCATGGACTGCCTTGCTGACGGCTTACGTGGAGGCCTGGAATCTCGTTGACGCTTTTACTGTGTTTGACCAGATGCCCGAGTGGAATCTAGTGACGTGGAACTCCTTGTTGACCGCGTATGCCCAGGCGGGAAACGTTGAAAAGGCCAAGTCCACTTTTGACCAGATTGACTCTCCCAGCATCGTGACGTGGAACACCATGTTGACCGTATTTGGTCAATCCGGCAATTTGGAGGAATGCAAGAGTTTGTTTTGGCAAATGCCGGTAAGGGACTTGACAACATGGAACATAATTGTGTCCGCGTATGCCCAGAGTGGGCATCAGCGGGATGCTTGTGGAATGTTTGACCGGATGCCACAGAGGAATGTTGTCTCCTGGAATTCGTTGCTTTCAATGTATGGTCAACGTGGTCAGCTCAACAAAGCAAAGCAAGTGTTTGGCTCTATGCCCGAGCTGGACATTGTCTCTTGGAACTCTATGCTCTCGGCGTACATCCAAAACGAGTGCTTAACAGAGGCAAGACAATTGTTTGACAAAGAGATGCCTTTTCATAACATGGTTTCCATGTCTTTGGTCTTGGCAGCGGTGGCACAGGCAGGAAATCTGAGCCTTGCGAGAGATACTTTCAGTAAAATGCCAAGGCTGAATACGGCATCATGCACCACAATGCTGCTTCATGAGATTCCGGTTGAAGCTGCCACTATCTTTAAGCAAATGCCATTCCACGATCTACCAGCTCTTAATGCAATGCTGGCTGGATTTTCTCACAATGGGGAGCTGGAGGAAGCCAAACAAGTGTTCAATGAAGTGATGCCACAGCACGACATGGTTTCCTTTAACACAATGCTGGCCGCTTTCTCACGGGCAGGGAATCTAGAAGATGCCCGGTGCCTGTTCCTCAAGATGCCGGCACAAGACATTTATACTTGGAACTCAATGCTCGCGGCCTACATCCATATGGGCTACATCAAAGACGCAAAATCATTCTTCTACAGTATGACCCAAAGGGATGAAGTATCTTGGACGTCTCTTCTTTGTGCATATGCCCAAGAAGGGCATTTGCTAAAAGCAAGACAATTGTTTGATCGAATCCCACATCTCCAAAGCCTTGTAATCTGGAACATCATGCTCCATGCCTACTTCCAGGTGGGGGAGTTTGTGCTCGTCTGTGATCTCAACCTCATGCTCATGCTCACAATCGAGATCCCAGATGGTTTCTACTTCACCATGGCCATGATCTCTTGCAGCCACCAAGGAAAGCTCGGCAAAGGAATGCAGTGCTTCACTTCCATGGCCACAGACTTTAGCATAGAGCCCTCGAAGCAGCACTACACTTGCATGGTGGACTTGCTAGCAAGGGCCGGGCATCTGACAGATGCCCAGGAGGTGATCAATGAGATGCCGTTTGCGGCTGATGGTTTGGACTGGATGTGCCTCCTTGGGGCGTGTAGAAATCATGACAGCCTAAAGCACAGCCTCAACACAGCCAAGCTTATGGTAAAATCTCATCCTGGCTATGGAGGTGCTTACGTTTTGGCTATGAACTTGATTCGTCACCCTCTAAATGCGAAGTTTATTTCTTTGGTTTAGTTCTAATCAACTCTATCTCTATAAGCTCGCTGCTAAATATTCTTCGGGGATTGAAGAATCCGTGGAGTTCTTCTCTTCTTGACTAGATCTTAGAGCCCTGGATAAGTTGGATCGACCAGCTTAACTTGTATGAACTTACACTTCTTTTTCTTCTACAAACAAAAAAGCAAGCGACAAAAGTTTCGCTTTGAAACTCTCGATTGTTTTCTCTTGTCTGCGATGGATCTTGTCTTGACGATCGATGATCAGGCAGGTTCAATACTTATACTCTGACAATTCTAGCTATTACTTATTATCACATCTTTGTTTCTCTGTCAGCAAATCTCCTTACTGGGTTTGGACATGGCGGTACTTCGGGAAGAGTGTCTCTATAAGCTCGTTGGTAAAGATTCCCCGGGGATCGATCTCAATCTGAGCTTTGACGAAAGAATCCACGGGGAATCTCTTCTTGAGCCGCTCCCGAGACCACTCGGCTTCCTCCTTGTCTCGAATCTGCAAGTAAAGAAGAGTGATCGATCTATTGCAATCTTTGAAAACTAATGTCACGCACCTCGACTTTTGCCCAGTGCTCGTACGCTCCATACGGATCCCAGAGATTCTTTTGGACAGCACCACGGTAGTCAAAGAAGCTCTCGGTGATCGCCTGCCTCTGCGCAGGATCTTCAGTCGGCAAGTACATGATGATCCCAACCTGCATGGCACAACAAACAAGTTTGAGAGAGAAAGGAAAAATCAGATTTGCTTACCCAGGAGAACAAGCGATCTGGAGAAGGATCTGACGCTGGCGACATGGAGCTTCTGCTACTCGAAGTCCACCGCTGCTCGATAGGCCCTGGCGCTGGAATGTTTCTTTTTCTGATCAGCTCCAGCAGCTCCTCCATAAACTTGATGTCGCTCATGTCGGGCTCGTCCACTGTTCCCGCGGGAAAGCAAACCTCCGACACCCACTGCTGGCCACCACAGTCGAAGCTCAGGATCTCGTGGCTCCAGCCCACGCGATAACCTGTATTTCGTCTCCAGTAGGTTGCTTCGGCCTTGTTGACGCGCTTGACATGCTCGGGATCAAGAGGTGCAAATGCCAGCACTCTGTCGCGCATTGCCGGGAAAGTCATAGCCTCTTGGTATACCGTCCCGGTAGATCCTTTGCTTCCAGCAGCAGTGCCACTCCATATTCCAGCCATAGCATTAACTTTTGGGGGCATCTCACTTTTCGTTTCCGGCTGACTGAAGAAAACGGCTCAGTCATACAAAATCCATTTGAAATATTGGTACTACATACCCGCGCTTTCGAACCATATCGTTATAGACGTCCATCATCGACTTTATTTTGCCAGCGTCATCTTTCTCCTTCTCGGTAGGAGGTTCTTGGCCTTCAAGCAGAGGATTACTCTGGATTACGACGACCACGTCCGTGTAAGGAATCCACATATATCTGAGGTGCCTGTTTTGCTGAAGCCACTTCCTATAAAAAGACATTTAATCAAATTAGCAAGTCAGGAGTAAACCAAAAAAGCAAGCTTACTTGTGATTCTTTCGTACTTCTTTCATGTTGGAGACGAGAGTTTGCTCCACAAGCTTGTGGGCAGGCACACACTGAAGAGTAACTTCAGCTACGATTCCCAATGTGCCGAGACCACAGCGAGCGAGATGAAACAGTTCCGGGTCGGACTCTTCGGAAAGCTCGATCGTCCCCCGGGTAGGAGTAACAACCTTCATCTTTACCACCCGCTCGTCGCCGGGAGGAATGGCTGCTCCAGTTCCATGAGCTCCGACCTGGAAAAATCAAGTGTTATCTTTGCGGAAATCGAAAAACTCAATAAGAAATTATACCTGGATAAAACCTCCTACTTGCTGTTCCTTGATAGAGGCGTAGTTTTCCAAAGTCAACCCGTGAGGCTTCAAGGCCTCCACCACTTGATCAATCCTAGCTCCTGCCTGTACCGTTATCTGCTTCTTCGTCGTGTCGACAACCAAGACTTTGTCCATCAGTGCCATGTTCACCATCCCTTCGTTGGAGAATCCCAATCCATTCGGCGAAAGGCCGGATCCAGTAGGCCTGATGGTCCTCGTCGTGACATGCCCGAGCTTCACAATCCTCTCCAAGTCGTAGAGGGTCTCTGGGTGATGGTAGTACCTCGGATGAGCTTCGTGAGTGTTACTCCAATTAGTCACGGTCTCCTCTTCTTTGGTGGTGATGCTCTCGTCCTCTTGAGTCCTAGACCACGGAGTACCATAGTACGTCCCAACAGCGCACGTTAGCAGCAGCAACCCATATAAGCTGTAGCGTATGGGATTGGGAAGAGAGCCAACCGGAGGAAGACTTGCCACAGACCTCCTCCACGAATTCCCAAACAAAGGAGGAAGGTTGCTGCTGTGAGCGGTGCCCAGTCTCACGGCGGAAATCAATCTTTTGCTCGAATCGGGCTTTGCAGTAGCGCAAGAACTAATTCCTCGCGGAAACCCAAGCGTTCCTGGATTGCTGGAAGGGAGAAACCTGTAAAGCTGGCCCCCGAGAACATCTTGAGCAGCGCAGCTAGTGGACTCAGTGCGTAGAATCCCAGCGCCAGTGCCGGATGAAGCCAGGCGAGCCCTGTAACCCGCAAAAACATGCTTAAAAAGCTCCGATCTCCTCATCCTGGAAAGCACCCAGAATTAAATCGCAAGAAGAAGAGGAGAGAAAAGTTTTACCTCCGCGAGAACGATCAGAGGAAAAGCTAGCAGTTGATAGAATCACCCTCAGCAGACGCGCGCATCCTCAGCAGTACCTACATTCCAGGAATCCCTTCGCCATAGCCAAAACCTCAAGAATCTATTAGGGCTTTAAAACTTCGCTATATGTGCATGCGCGAGAAACCACGTGGCAGAGAAAACAAGATGACGTGGCAAACACTGGAAAATTAATCCCTGGGAAAGCAAAAGAGAGCCGATGAGCTTCGTTTAATTGCACAGAACTTACCTCTACCTAGCTGGATCAATTCGATTCCCGGCCTGAGAAGAACCATGAAAAAAGATCGATGAGCTTCGCGAAGAACTTACCTCCAGATGGATCCACTTCGATTCCCCATACAAAGCATTCGATGAGCTTCGTTTAATTGCGAAGAACTTACCTAATGGATCCATTCGATTTTCGGCCTGTGAGAAGAAGGATGCAGAAACAATCGATTAGTTTTTCTTCCTGGCAAAGGAAGTAAGAACGTACCCCGGGGATCACTGGGAGTCACTGGAGATCAGACGGACGGAGAAGATCAGTGCATTGCGGTCATTGAGTCGACGCAGGCAAAGTTTCATCACGCCTTTGTCCGTTAAGTTCTTGCCGTTTGGCAGATCTTTCTTCAACGCCTTCATCAGAGCCGGACGAAGGTCCTCCAGCTGCTGTGACCCGTGAAACATGAGGTGAAGATAGCAGTAGGCAGAGTACAGTCCCTCTGGTCCTTCAAAAAAGCTGCAAAATGAAGAGCTTGAATCGAACAATCGATCAAATTGCAAAGTCCTTACTCGGTGTGGTAGTACAAATCGTTGCTGTCCGGCATGCCACCGATCATTCCGTGTATCACCTTATCGAGTTTCCCGTAGAGCTCTGGATTCTCTTGCCGGACAAACTCACTCAGCCGTTTCCAGCTTAGACGGCAATAGCTGATCGATCAAGCAAATGAAAAGTATATAGGGAAAAAGAAAGAAGGATCAAAATTGTATAGTCTGCCTATTACGAATCGCGGTCTTACCAGGCATCGAACCTTGCGTCCTCCTCGTCATCAAGGCTGCAGTGGAGAGGTTTTCATCCCAATGAAATCGTTTGAAACAGTACCAGTCGGGGTAATCGGGGTTCTCGATGGTTTCCGCTTCCTCTCGCGTTCTTGCCTTCATGATCTCCTCCGGCGATGCCTTGGGTACATTCTTCCTGACGATCGCAACGTTAGCCATGGCGCCAGAAAGAAAGAATGGAGATCATACCTGTGTCGTGCCGGATGCGCGGACTTGCTGCCAAAACACCCCCAAATTTCAGTCGTGAAAGAGGAGATTCACAAGAGAGCATACGGGATCTTGTCGCGGACCATCCGGATGATCTGTCGCTTGATAATCCGGGCCTCCTTGCGAGAATCCGCGAGCTCCAGCTGAAAGAACTTGAACAGCAGTTTACCTCGATCTTCCGAGGAGCACAGCGCCAGGAATCGATCGACGAGAGCTTCCCCCGGCGTGCGCTCTCTCTTGCGCTGCCGCGGCGCCATTCTCACAACCTTGCCAGGCATTGCAACTCGACCCTAGCTTCAAAAAATGGGCGGGAATTTATGTAAGCTAGAGGACGTCCTCGGTTCGAATCCCTTCCCCAAGGTTTTTAGTAGAAACCACTCTCTCGTAGCCCATGAGACGAACGAAGCTTTGGAGGAGCTGTTCTTCCACTAGTTTTTCATCGACCCTCTCCTGCCCGAGCTCTCGAGCGAGCGACGTGACCTCCTTGTCCAGGATTCCACACGGGACGATGTGCTTAAATCCATCCAGATCGGTGTTGGCATTGAATGCCAGGCCGTGCATCGTCACGCCCTGGGGAGCGCTGATCCCCAGCGCGCCAATCTTCCGTCGCTGATCGATCCAGCAGCCTGTCTGGGAAGGGATTCTTCCGGCCTGGAGCTTGTAATCCCTCGCCACTTCCAGCATGAGATCTTCCAGCCTCTCGACGAAGAGCCGGATTCCAATCCCCAGCGCCCGGAGCGAGACGATAGGGTAGAGAATCGGCTGGCCGGGGCCGTGGAATGTGGCATCGCCGCCGCGATGCGTCTGGTGGACCTCGATCTGGAGGCGCTGGAGCTCGGATTGGGGCGTGAGAATGGCGTCGGAGAGGCTGTGGCGGCTTAGGGTATGGCGGCCGAGCGTGATCGTGGGAGGATGCTGCGCCAGGACGAGCGTGTCATCGATGCCGCCGCTACGCCGCTGCTCGTGGAGATTGCGCTGAAGTGCCAGAGCTCGATTGTACGGTATCGTCCCCGCCCGCAAGACCTGGAGCGTTCTCATTCTAGAACATATGTGGATTAGGGTTTGGGGAAGAAAGATAGCGCCCGAGCGTGGATTGATCGCTCACAGCGATGGAGGGCTGATTTTCACGAGCTCCAGGTTTGATGGTTCTTGCGAGGCGCTGGCTCCGGGATCGTAAGATCAGCCGCATTTTACAGAAGTTACAGGGAAGAGGAGCTCACAATCTCGACCAAAAGAAGAATGCTGCCACCGTTAACTATACTTTCCAGGAACTTAGAACTTTCTCCTCATTGTCACAATGATCCAGGTGTGTGTGGGCGAATCGGCCGCTTTCTTGTGTGGATGATCCACACTTGTGAAGAACAGGCAACGAAGAGGTATGTAACTTATTTCATCCAAAAACTTCACCTGATAGGAGAAGCTCTTGGCAGGCACCTTATACGAACGAGTTTCTCTCGTCCATTCACTTAGAGTCCACCGCTACTCATGAATTCGCGTAGCTATTTCAGTCATGGAGATAGAACACTTGCGGCAAGAAGATGTCTGGAGCATCGATTTTTCACGAGAGCTTGCCGGACTGAGGAGAAAGCTTGCGCGCTTATCCATGCTAATCTTTGGCATGGCTGGTCTCATCGCAGGCCAAAGGTACGTTATGTTTTTCGTCTTTTTGTTACGTTGATGGCGCATGAAAGTCTCTCTCTCTCAGGGGTCCCCGCGGAGAAATTGTCTTTTACCAAAGAGGAAAGTGACCGGCAAGAAAAATCTCGCGAGGCCGAAGTCTGCTCGCGGTTTGTTGTGATATTGCGGCGCGGCAAGTCGCATTCAAGCAAGTGAACAGCACGCAGCTTACATCAGGTAAGTGAAGAAGAACACTCAGGCTCGCCAAAGAGATGGGACAAGCAACCATCTCTTGCAGTGGGATTTTTGCGGCGTCGTCTTGGTCTCACTGGTGAGCAGCCGCAGTCCTTTTCGAACAGTGACTTACGCACCGTCGCATTTGTTCCAGGCAGCCGGAGTGTTTTCCAGAAGTGAGAACTCCAAACAGAAACGCTGTTGCCGTATAGGTGTGTATTTTTTATTTATTCTTTCATGGCCGCAGGAACACCGGCCACGAAACCGCTCGTCCCGTGCAGAGAGAACACGGGGAGTTTCTCGGGGGACTAGAGGACAGCAGCGAATTAATGGAGCTACGGGTGGAGGTGGACAGATTTGCCTGTGGATTCGAGGTTCCTGGTCTGGATCTGGATTCTGGAAGCAGTGGCAGCAAGGAAAACAGCAGCAGCCAAAGCGAGCAAGCAGCAGCCAAGTAGCGGCGCGGCGATTTGATGGTTTCGTCGTCTCTCGCCAGAGCTTTGGAGGTGTGCCACTTTGTTAAACTGTCTTGGGTCCCATTGACTTGAATGTTTCGTGTGCTGTGACAGGGGCCTTGAAGATTTTTGGACACCTCGCCGTGAATCAAATAGGGATTCCAAGTTTTCACGCTACCACAAGTCGTATAATCCATTGTTTTTCCAGCGCGCACGATCATTGAGGCGAATCTCCAATGAGTGTAAGCTCTTTTGTTTATAGAGTTTGATCTTTCTTCTCCAGCGATGATCTGAAAAAACTTGGCTTTTACGTTCTGGTGAAGTTTCGATTGACTCCTTCAGAGGTACGTGAAACAGATCCGCAAAGAAAACACGCTACACACTTTGTGATCATTTAATGAATGCTTCCATTTATACAGGAGAAAACGTCTTTTTGTACACGACAACCCTTTGCCTTCTCCTCGACGGCGCCGAGCGAGAGAGCTATGGATGGAAAACTCCTCCACTGCGTTTTCCTCGTGAGCCCACGACTTTGGATGGATCAAACACTTGCGCCGTCGGTCGAGACTCATCGCATCCTCGTCGTCGCAAACGCTTGCCACTTGAGAGGCCGGAAGAGATTGCGAAGATCCAGCCACACGAAGAGCGCGCGGCAGGCATCAAACGGGATCCTGATGTAGCTCCGCCAGGCGCAGCTCGAGGGAGAGCACTTGGCGGAGTTCCTCGCTGTTGCTGTCGGTGGAGACGATGGGCGGAGGTAGGCCTTGGCGGCCTGCTCCACTAGCCTGTTCTTGATGGGAATCCTGGGGCTGGGATTCTTGAGAGATTGGTGCTCGGATTGCTGCTTCTTTACGCGGCTGGACATGAGATCGCTGAGGCTTGTGTAATCGAACGATCGCCTTCTACCACCGTTGTCGCCGCCATGATCAAACAAGGCAATTTGATCGCTCGTGTCGCTCTTGGTGATCCTCAATCGCTGCGCTATTGGCATCTCCCCTCGATACTCCTCTATTCTCGCTCGCTCGCTCGCTCTCTCGCCCTCTCGCCGCTCCAGAGGCCCAGGCCCCAAATTTTTGGACCACCCTAAAATACTAAAGCCTTTTATTCCTGGCATGCTGGGGCATATTCCTCAAGGAATATGCCCACGTGGCATATCCCGTCCTTCCAGGCGCGCTCGTTTTCCACGAGAAATGGGGAGTACAAATGGACGCGGATGATGACTGATTATTTATTTTCACAGTCAAAACCAGGTGACTAGCCCACCGTTTGACTTTCGCGGCAACTTGCTCGCCGCCATTGGCATTGGAGTTGACTGCCTGGTACCGCTGGCGTGGACGCTGGCGTTCTTATTTGCAGGACCATGGTAGTAGCTGCCGTGGCTGTGGCGTCACCTCCATAATTAGTGGTGGTAGTAGTAGTTATAGTCGTGTTGAGCTTCACTAAGATCATCCAATCCAAGAGCGTGTTGGTGGTGGTGTGGTGATCTTGAGCTTGAAGATTACCATCCTCACAGTTCCTGTCACTATTAAATGGCAGCAGTGATCAGCACAAGGAGAAGAGCACGAGAATTAGGAATTGCTCATTGATAGTGTCACTGAGAGAATGCAAAAGATTGCGATTAATCGATCGGAAACAAGAACCACAATTCTAGAAGGATTATTTTGGGCTCAGCGCGTGCTGTGTGTACTGTTTCCAATTTTGCATTGTGGAGTAACTTTTATCTTTCCAGCGAACAGATTTTGTGGTTCTTTTCTCTGCGAGTCAAACGGAATGTTTGAGCCCGATTTTATTTTCTTGTGGTTCTCTCCACTCTTCTTGAGAGTTTTTTTTTTTTTTTTTCCAATGGTTCTCTCTTGTAACTTCTTTTTTATCTGTGGTTTTCTCTTGTGAACTTCCACTCTTCTTGATTGAGAGTCCGAATGGCATAAATATTTGGACTACATTGGCGATGTAAAAAGTTGCAACTTGACATAAAATGCTGGACAGCAAGATGCCATAAAGATAACCATTGCAACGCAGTTGATTTTATTCATTGTTTATTTCCCTATATACAACTCAGTACATGGCTTGACTTATCGGAGTAACTTTCAATTGCCACCCTCGGCGTTGACTTTCGCGGCGGTGTCACCACCGCTGGAGTTAACGTCGGCCCCACCAGCTTTGCCAGTTTCAGCTCTAGAACTATAGTGCGGGCAGTAACCATGGTGGCAGCGGTGGCGGTGGTGGTAGTAGTGGTGCGGATCGTCATCGTCGTGACGATTCTGAGCATGGATTTCGTCCCACTCCCGATCGTCATCGTGATCAGCATTCTTCTTGGCGGCCATCCTAGCACTTCCTTCCACGACCATTAGCATCGCGGCCGCGAGCAGCAGCGCAATGACAAGAGCGCGCAAGATCACAGTAGCCATCGCCGAGAGAGCGATCAATCGATCGAGCAGACACTAGAGTGGAAACCAGGAACGCGAAAAAACGAAAGAGATCTAGATACCTTGCCTTGCAGTGCCTGCCTCGGCTTATATACGCGCTGCCAGATGCCACAGTTGAAACGTGTAAACCTTCCAACTTTGCCTTTTGAGTAACTTCTATACTCATCCCCAAAAGCCCTCAATGGATTGCATCCATTTGTGCTCATCCCGAAAGCTTCTATTTTCCCTGTGTTGTTCACGTTATTACCCCAGCGAGTTGTAAAGAAAGTGTTTTGTTACCTCGTGTGTGTAGTTCTCACACTTCTTCCTTCTTTTTCTTCTTCTTCTTGTCCCTCTTCTCTTTTTCCTTCTTGTCCCGTTCGATAGTAAACTTTGTCTTCCTTTGTCGCTTTTGACCCTGAGTTTATTGCCGAGCTCGTCAGATAGTTCCCAGGAATGTTCAAAGGAAAACTTACGCATGTCCAGTAGCAAAGGAAGCTCAAAAACGCAAACACGATGAATGCTATTTGGAAAACGTTGAATCTGCAACAGGCATACGAAGGCCGAGTTAATCGATCAAAACAAACAAGCCAGGAACTTAAACAAAGCAAGCCGTACATGAAGAGATACTTCAAACCTCTCAATGACTCAAGCGAGTGGCCAAATATTTCCTGAGCGGCAGTAGCTTCGGCGTACAATGAAAAGGCCTTCGTGCAGAATTGAATCACGCTGCAAACAGTTTTGAGCTTGCTAAAAAACATGTTAAAACTACATACCTTGTTGAACATAGAAGGATAATGGCCACGTTGAAAAGAAACGAGTTCATGAGCGTGCCCTGGTACCTATAGTTTCATAATAAAAACCACTACATTCTAGAAAACCATACAAAAAAAGGTGCTTACTTCATTGGATGAATGGAAAGAAACAGAAGCCTCATTCCCAGATGCATCTCTCCAGATATGACAGACATGACGAGGTAGTAGCAAAAGATTGCAAACGCGGTGGTTCCTAGCAAGCCTGAAAGGAAGGAAACAATTCAGGTCTAGAGATCGCATCGACAGAAAGTACCCCAAGCACTGTCGAGCTGAATAAAGACTTGGTTCAGAAACGGAAAAGCTGGAGGATTGACTAGCATGAAAACAATGATGTGGAGAAGCCAAATTATAGACAAAGCCAAGCTGCAACAAGAAAAACAAAAAAACAAAAAAAAAGTGAATATCTTTGTCAAGCCTTCGAAGTCTATTTCTTACCCGAGAATGCCGAAAACAAGCTTGGCTAAGTAGAAAAGAACTGTAAGAGCCCAGGATGTGTCTGCCTGAGAGAAAATCCAGCAATGAAATAACTTAAATGGGAAACTAGAGATTACCTTTTCTCCCTGCGGGAATGCCTCGTTCAGAGCTTGAACATCATCTTCCAAAAAGACAAGCTCCTGAATTGAGCTACACATATGCATTTGTCAACACGATCACGTCCACCATTGTTGTTTTTTCTTTTTCCTGTGCGCAGTGGAGCTGACCTGCTGGACTTTCTTCACATTTTTCCGAAGCTTTCGTCCTTTCTTCCCACCTCTTTCTTCGCGTTGGAGACCCAAAGTCACCTTTTTTAGCTCGTTGGAGCGCTTGGCTAAGTCAGTCGCCTCCTGCAAAGCCATCACCTTGAAGAGATTAGTTGCAAGAACGTAAAAAGAATTGAAGCACATACCTTTACGTATTGAACACGAGTAATAACACACTTGGGCCTATTCTTGAACGCAAATATGAGGCTCACTGGTAATGTTGCCATTCCAACACCTCCAAACATCTGCAGGAAGGAAATCACATCTTCTAGAAAATAGAACACAAACGACATTACCGTGAAGAGTATTGATCCTATTATTGTGTTTAATGCGATCACGTAAGTCGGGAAGGGCGCACGCACAGACCACGTAGTTTTAACCAGAGATCCAGACGTATAAGCTGCACACTGTCACACAATATTGCCAGATCAATGAAGAAAGGGAAAATGTAGAAGAAAAGGCTTACCATGAGAGTAACATTCGAAGACAATGAGAAACCAGCCGGAAACAAGCACGGAGCCTTTGCATTGAGCGAACTAAAATCATTGGTGAAAGCCAACGTCGTGGATGAAAGACGTCTCACGGTGAAATCGGCATAGCCAATCACAGCTTTAAGCAATCACATAGAAAAAGGGTTTAAGAACGAAAGATGGAAAAGAGCTTCTTACCATAGAGAATTCCCAAGAGGAGGCAGAAGACTGTGAGGAGTATCACCACCCACAAGAGAGCGTTCTTTATCCTTTGTGTCACAGTCCTGGAACTCACCAAGAACAAAGAAAGCTTTTGAGATCATGGAGGAATAGAAATAACTTTAAAAACTCTAGGAGGAGCTCGGTCCATCGAGTGTTCTAAGAACAAGAACAAAGAGATGGAAGATTACTTCTCCTGGTCGCTCTCGTAGAAGAAGATCGCGAAAGGAATGACGAGATAGACGAGCACAGTGTCGATGATGTAAACTGCCCACCATAGCTGCTTCATCGGGAGAGTGAGCTTACACGCCCCGACGTAGAGATTCTTCTCGCAGGAATGGCGATTCGCGACGTCCGCCGGGAGCATCAGGATCGAGAGTTGGGCAATGCTGAGCCCAATCACGACGATGATCTTGGGAAGATATGCCTGATTCGAGTCATCGGGATGCTGGTACCTGATGAGAATGTAGATATTGATCGCGAAGACGAGCAGCGTGAGGAGCACCACGATCACCAGCAGCACTACATTGTACTCCATCGCGATCGGATCGATCGATAGCCCGGGCGAGCATTCCTGGGCGGTTTTCACCAGACCACACGCCTAAGAACCCTAATTTCAACGGCTGGGATTTG